GAGCAGCAGCCACCGGCTCCAAGGGCACCCGCTGGGGAAGGGGGAGCGGGCAGGGCAGCCTCTGCCCCTTCCCCGGCCGCACAAACCGAGCTCAGGCCGCGGCGAGGGTCTGGCTGTGTGCAGAGCTGGTGGCTGGGATAAAATGGCCGCTGCTAAACCTTCTCTGAAACGTCCTGAACTTTTAATGCACACAAAACCACAGCAGCTTCCCTTCTGCACCCCGGAGGGCACAAAGGCACGAGCGTCTCCTCTCCCCCATCCAGCCGGAGCCACGTGCTGCAGTCTGAACAGCGGCAGGGACGTGGCTGGAATGAAAGTCGCCCTTCCAGCTCGTGTGCTCAGAGAGCGTTCGCCGAAGTCAAAGGATTGCCAAGTTAAAAGGGTCAAACCTCCAAGGACAGTTGTATCTGACTGGCTATATATCATTTCAATAGCATCTTCAACGGGGATTATAATCTGAATTGAAGCGGAAAGACCTGAGGCAATGAAGCTGTCAGCAGTCTAAGATTAAGGAATTAAAACAGCAGCACAACATTACAGGATTTGTTCTAGATGTATTAGAAAGAGCAGGCTAAACACACGGCAGCCTTCCTCGGGTCGGAAATTTCATACGAGTACAGAGAAGGGCAAGAGCAAGGATTTCATCAATAGACATAAAAAGAGAGGAGAGCGAGACAGAGCTATGGAAACGCAGCCACGCAAAATACCAACCCTAACTGCAGAGGCACATGAGTCACACAAGGTCTGACCGAGGTAAATAAAAGCAGAAATGAGGTGGATTTAGGGGAGGGCAGAGGTGGAAACACTCCGATAGCCAGCAGTCAGGAAAAAAGTGACCCTTGATATACTAAGGCTGGTAAATTCTGGAAGGCAGCCCAGCCTGCTTTTGGGTTGCCCGATGGAAATGTGGGGCCCCAGTCCTGTCCTCCCTTTCCCCTTCCCTTCCCCCCGTTCTTCCCCCCATCTCCAGAATGACTGCGAAAAGCCAAGAACGACGGTAACCGCCTGCGCAGGGCGGCTGAGCCAAGGGAGAGGCGGGGGGCACAAGCCTTGCCTTTGCCTCTGTCGAGGTGCCCAGGCGGCCGCCACCAGCTCTGCGCAGCTCGGGAGGTTCCGGCAGCTCTTGCCGGTGGGAAGCAGAAGCTCTCGAAACAAAGAAGGAATCAAACTCCCACCACAGGACTCATTAAAACGATCCATTTATTTCTGGCAAATTGCACACACCTTCCTTTCATTCGCTCTATCCTAGCTCAGCTGTGGGGAGGAACTTCTCCCCTGCCTTAAAGAGACCAACGTTACGGGAGAAAACACCAAGAAAGCAGGGAAGTGTCCCCGGCAGAGAAAACACAGAGGAAAGTTTCGGCGACCCAGACTCCATGCAGCCCCCAGCTCTGCTCAGCACAAGCCGTACAGAGGCAGGTCGTTCTGCTCCACCCCGCTCGCTGCAGCTCGTTCCCTTCAGTTACAGGATCCAAAAGGACCCGGAATCCCTCGGCCCGGGTGACAAGGAGAACCACCGGGGCCCGGCACCGCGCTGCCCGGTGACAGCGAGAGGAACGCTGAACCCGGCTGCCTGCACAGAGCTGCTGCGCTCGAGTGACACAAAGCTGTACCCGGCAGAACACCTCCCTGCACACACGAGGCCACAGAGCAGCGACGAGCAGCCAGATCTAGGACGCGGAAGGAGACGGGAAGCTAATGACAGGCGGAGCTTCTTCTGCAGCACACGTAGAGCACGGAATCGCTTTTCGACTCCTCCAGCCAACTTCTACTGGGAGATTTACATACAAGTCCTCAATCAAGTCTTTTAAGAGTTATCCAGAGTCCCCTGGGTAAAAACAATCTGTTTCAAGAAAGAGGAGAGTCCAGAGCTGCTCAGTGATTCTTTTTGGTTGAGCCGAAACCAGAGAAACCCATCACAGCCGCCATTTCATCATCCTCTTCGAATGTCAAATCTTCCTCCGCTCGCCTTTTCTTCTCTCTTTGCTTCTCCTTCTTGTAGGCTTTGGCCTTCTCCTCCTGCAGCAAGGGACAAAACGGCAAAATGATCTGAACGCCCCGAGCTGAGCAAGCTTTTGGGAGAGCGGGCACTGCAGCGCTAACCCAGCAGCACCCAAGTTGTGTCTGAGGGACAGAACGGCCAGCAGAAGTCCTGGCCTGCAGCCTCTGAGGAGGAGGTTTCCCACTGTCTCCAGACCACCCCACGAGCAGAGTCCCCCGCACAAGACGTAGCCAACGAGAAGTGTCGCGGAACAAACGTCACAATTCCCATCGGGATCAACGCCGAGGCCGAAGGAGCTGGTTGAAAGCAGGAGGCCTCCCCCTCACACAACGCCCCTTCCAGCGGCCGCGACGCGGAACGTCGCTGCCCGTCGGCTTTCAGCCCGGCAGAGCGACAGCTGCTCGCTGGAACCTTTTTTTTTTGGGGCCGTGTGGGGGGGGGGGGGGGGCGGTTTGGCATCAAAGAGTTTGCGCTGCTCTCATCAAAGCGGTTCGCTCCGCCAGGATCACAAGCCCTGGAACAGCGCCGGGCTCGTACCGGGCGACGCGGGAGCATGGATGGCTTCGGCTCCCGACTTAGCAACTGCCCCGCCACTCCCACCGCCACGGCGACTGGAGACAGCTCTGCCCTGCAGAAAGCTACACCGAGAGCTGCTGCCGAGCTCTTCGTTGCCACACGTTGACTGGCAGGAGGTCTCCAACCCACAGCCCTCCCCGCGCTGCTGGGGCACCTCTCCCCTCCCTCCCCCAAACAGGCGGGGTGCAGCAGCACCCAAGCCTGCTCGAGAGCAGAGCAGAGGGCTGCTCTGGGGGCACCCGGCAGGGCACCCCTGTGGTGAAGCAAAGCTCAGGGCTGGGGCGGGGAGGCTCAAGCGGGCAGCAATTTTTAATGTTTCATCGTTAACGCGACGGCTGGCGGAGGAGAAGCAGCCCTACGCGCTCCTCAGCCGTCAGAACTTTGTCAGGTTTTCAAACAAACTTGATCTTCCTGTCAGGGAGCTGATACCCAAGCCCAGGTTTGGGAGGAACCTGCTGTCTCTCACTGCCTCCACACACCTCTCACGCCACAGCACACCACTCACAAAGCCCTTCCACGCTCAGGGAGGCCACATGGAAGCAATGTCCCATGTGGAAGAGGATCCCAGCAATCCTGGGAACCACGGAAGATAAGGAAAAAAGACACAGATCTGCTTATCAGAGCACGCAAGTTCAAACACAACTAACGTGAGACAAAAAATGCGTGTGCTGTCAGGCTTGTGCTGCTCTCAGCGGAAACACGAAGCATCAAAAGTTATCCTCACACAGACAGAGGGGAAAAGGGCTTCCAAGGACAGCAGCAGAAACCTATTCAAAAAGCAAACAAGGAAACAAACCCCACTCCTAGCAGCAGACGAGAAGCCCTAGGCTTCTGAGGAACAAGATTAGGAACCAGTGCCGATTTCCTCACAAAACGTGTTGGGAGGGGGCTCTGCTTCCCCAGCTGTTGCCCAGACTCACCTCCTCGCGGAGTTCCTTCATCCTCTCCTCAAAGTCATAGTCCTTCTGCTTCTCCTCCATCTTCTTCTTGTTCACCTCAAAGCGCTTCTTCACCTGGTCCAGCGTGGAGCGCTCCACCCGCATGGACATGCCCAGATTTCTCTGGTCTAGAAGACAGGAGCAGCACCAGCCGTGTCCAGCCATGCCCGCAGCCTGACGGGCTGCACACAGTCCCCGTCCCCGATCCCAGCTTGAACCCCTCAGCACAGCAGCCTCCGCCTGCCTGCCATCCGTCCCCCCCCCAGGGCCGCTTCCCGGGCCAGGCCACACACCCTCCAAGCTCCGTGCTCCAAGCCCACCCGCAGGCCGCCCACCACTGGAGGCACTGGGAGCAGCGCTCCCCGTGTCCCCGCGCAGCAGAGCCCGGCAC